ACTAAAAGAATACAGAGTTCAATCATCAGATAATCATTATAGCTGTTTTGAAGTGTTTATTTTATTAGTCTAGAAGGTAAAGCAAATTTCATACTTTTAAGTTGTTGCAGGCTTTGCAGGCACCCTGATAAGCTCTTGTATTTTTATACCCCATGGTTAGGGTTCAGGTACTGGCAGCAAGTGATAATATGCACAACACAGGAGAGATCCAAACTGACAAATTTTGACAGTTGAAAACTAAAGAAACTAATATATCAGACCAATAAATATGGTTTGGGCTTTTTTTTTTTTTTTTCCCTTCTGTATCTTTTCTCTTTTAACTCCCAAAAGTTAAATTTTCAGGCCTGGGAGATTGCTGAATATTTTCTTCAAGCAAATCAAAACCTCAGAGCATCTTGTGGAGAGTGTTTTATTTCCTGTCCACATCCATAGGGTTATTTTCTCACATAGATGCATGTGTGTAATTCCTGGTAACTTTAACACAGGAATTGTCTATTCAGTTTAGGGAGCTGTAAAAGACTTTTTCTCACCCGAAGCAAGATGGAGGTGTCCGTATTCACTCAGGCATGAAATCCTGGCTGAGAGATTAAGCCTCTTACACAGATCCCAGCACCATTAAATGCCAACAAGGACTGTGTAAGCCACATCTTCAAGTGGAGGAGACCTTCCCTTTGTTAGTTATTCAAAATTAGGAATGTAAACAGCTCTCGCGGCATAATTAGTCTGTGTTTGAATTGGGAGAAAGTGACAAAAATAATGGCATGGCAGAGCTCCTGGAGATGTCACAGAGCTGGATCTCGCAGCCTAACACAGCCATGACTGCTCTGCTGGGAGGGAAATTTGGGTCATAGAGGAGAAGTCACACAGGAGGAGAAGCCCCATTGCATGGGGTCACCAACAGCTCTTTGAAAAAATTCTCTTGCTTACAGGAGGAATGGCATGTCTTGAAGTTTCATGGTGAAAACTGCAATTTGTCGTAGTTCCACAAAGTCCTCCACAAACCCAGGTTCACTGCCAGGAGAAAACCATGGCTACTGTGGTGTGAAAGTCCTCACCACTGGCTCTTTTTCCCATTCTTCACTTCTAAATGATGCCTTCAGTGAACCCATGGCTTGATTCCCCTGTAATCCATTGCTGCCATCTTTGACAGTGACTCACATAGAGCTGTTTCTAGCCATACACGAGGCTGTTTGTCCCTGTCACTGTCTTGCTAAACAGGTTTCTGTGGAAATTAAATAAATAAAATCTCTACCAGTGGTGCTAATTGGTGCCTTTGGCAGCCTGAGCAAGGGCTTGTGAATTGAATGTGTCATGGAGAATTGAATGTGTCAACTCTCTCCCAATGGCTGGGACCTTGAGGTCTTTCTCTGGCACTAAATTTCTTTTGAAAAAAGAAAAAAAAGGGGAAGGGAGGGGGGGGAAGGCGGGAAGAGAGAGAGAGAGTGAAAACAAGCTGAAGTAAGAGATCTTTTCCCTTTTTTTAATGAGGTGTTGAAGTTGAACATTGTAGTGTCCACACTGCAGCGTTTGCTCATCAGATGCCTTAAGTAGGGCTGTTTTCTGCTGTTGTTTCTCAGGGATTCCATTTGTTGCCATGAAACTCTGAGCAGCATGGAGTGGCAGGTTTTATTCAGTCTGTTCAAGCATCTGGCAGGATAGCCATGAAGTTGTTGCCGATGTCCTTAAGGGACTGTAGGGATCTGCATGATTCATTCAGTATTTTTTTCAAGGTACAAAGAAGAAATGCCTTACGCTGTAGTAAATACTGTTCCAAGTAGAGCACAACCAGCTTAGCAGAGCGTGGGAGATTTGCTGCTCTGGAGGCACTGACTGGCAGGATGAGCTCCTCTGCCTGTGGGCAAGAATACACTAACCCATGTGGAGCTAAAATGGGCTCTGTTTCAGGCTGTTGAGGACTGGCAGAACCATGTCCACAAACCAATTCACCTTTTAAGTTGTCCTGACTAGGACAGGGGAAGGTTATCACTGCCAGGCCCTGAGTTATTTGGATGTCAGAAAAGTCTAGTTGTGGTTCAAGCTGCTGTCGAGTTTGTTGGTGATGAAACAAAGATTATATGTGCATGGGGCCTGAAGGGAAGGGTTGTATTTTTTCATTTTCTTTCAGTAGGAAACATTCTTTTTCTGTTCCAGCTGGGCCACTTGTTTGTCTTTGGCAATATTACATTTTCTTTAGTAAAATGGAGGAAGGAAGGTCGTTGCCTCTTTGCCTTTCAGCAGGGGACAGCTACCAGTCCTAAAGCACAGATTAGCCCTGTCCTATTACACAGGCATCTTCCCCTCCAATATTCCTCCAGAAAAAAATGAATTAGGTACCTTTTCTATGTACTGACCAAAAGGATTTTGTACTGGAGGCATCTTCAATGCAGTTTGTGTAACATGGCTGCAGCACCTCTGAAAAATCCATAGGCTGAGCTACATTATTTCCTTGGGGAAACATGGACTATTGCCTTTTCTGGTTCCTCTCTGTTGTCTTATTTTCTGAGTCCAGCCCTGACCTCTGTAGCAGATACCCTCAAATTCAGATGTCCACAAGTGGGAGTCCATGCCCCACTCAAACCACAGCAAACCAGCTGTTGTTGTGGGGTTTCTTTTATTTAAGAAGATATGAGCCAAATGTGTCCTGAGAAAAATTATATCCATTTGCATTTTCAGATGTGTCAGTCTGTGAGCTCAGAAGTCTTTATTTTTGTCAAGGTCCGATGACCTGCCTGAAACATTTCTCATTGAGCTACTGTTTCTTCCAGCCCTCATTCACAGAAACATTTTTCTCTCCTGAGCTATTACTTCCCCAAAATGACCAGTTAAAGGGTATTTCACAGCATATTCATCTTTCAAGTGCAGTTCTTTCAAGTAGTGCCAAGAATGATAAACCAATAGATTTCAAATTTCTCCTTATCAGAATGAACCCCCTGAGCTGAAATCTAAAATGAAACTCTTTGGGCCCATGGAAAAGGACATGGCAATTGCAAAGTTGTGATTACAGCTTGATATTTTCCCCTCTGAATCCTCTCTCCTGATTAAAAAGCCTTATATTAAAAAGCTAACAAACCAAACAAAGAAACAATAGGAGATAGACTTGGACCTGGATGACAGGATAGAAAAATATTGCAATATTGTCTCAAAATCACACTCTTAAATGTCACGAACTTGGATATTTTTTTCTCATTTTCACCTGGGGTAAAATAATTCAGATTTTCAAGATTTTCCAGTGAAACAGAAGGTTTAGAAACACTTACAGAAAGCACAAACCTTAACAGGCTGTGCCTGTCTCTAGCACACATCCCTGCGAACGATGTCCCGCTTACTGAAATAATTATTAAACCATCTCCATCGTAAAGTGTGAAATTTTAAAGAACCTGTTGGCAGTATGAAAAATGTTTCTCTCAGCCGTGTTAAGTCTGCATTACCTGCCTGCCCATGTTTTGCTGTGGCTGCAAGTGATTTTGTGTATTAGGGATAAACTTGCTGTGTTCCAGCTGGCAATACATGGTCACCTTTGCTTGTTACCGAGGTAATGGTTGTCACTGGCCTGGCTGCTGAGCCAGAGGGAGCATTCCCAATGCCATGCACAGCTTGAGCCAAGCAAGGGGCAGTGGAGGGGCTATTCTGGATTCAGCCCTTCTTTCCAAATGGGCCACCTCCACTTTGCTGCTTTTAGTGTTTGCTGTGGGCTGCTGTGCACACCTTCTCCTTGTGTCCTTTGCCACTGCTGCAGGGTTGAACACAAGCAAGAATGTCAGGTGGGCTGGGATGTTTCACCTTGGCCAGCATTAGGGAGCTGATACAAGCTTTGCTCACTGCCTGAAGCGCAGATTATTTTATCTGTGTCACGCTCCAAGGGAGCACCAAGACTCATGAGCCGGGGTTTCTTTTGTTTACTGATTGGTTTTGACATTTCTCTGGAGTTGTAACAAATCTCTGACTGTGATTAAGAGAACAGGATTGTTTTCTGATTCATCAGTAAGACCTGCATCATCCTGGTTCATGTGAAGTAGATCTTTACTTTTTACCCAGCCAGCATTGCCCAGAATGTTTTCCCTCTCCCCATAGTACCAAACACCCCATCTGCAGCAAACATCTCATCTGTCAAGGAGCAGACTTCATTGCTGTGGGGCATTACAGGCAAACCCTGGTCCTTGCTTTTTGTCCCCTGCCTGTGACATTATAGCTCTTCCCTGAGGAGGTGCCTGTGAGCCCTGACCTCACCCTGGGGCTGGTTGAGCTGCCTGGGTTGTGCGTGCTGAGCAAAAGCTGCTTTACATGTTTGCAGTGGACAAAGGGACAGCAACCCATGTTTGGTCCCACACACCACCTGGCTGGACCATGCTGTCAAAAGGGAAACCACAGGATTAAGGCAACTAAAACCACCTGCTTTACTGAAAATTGATCAGATGCAAGGAGGGCAGAGCCTCCCTTAATGCTGTCAGCCATCAGCAGCCTCCACTATCCCAGCAGTGGTGAGTTCACCCATAGCTTGTTTTTCATTCTTGAAACTGAGATGAGTGTTCCACCTCCAGTCCTGCCTGGTTTCAAAGAAATAGGGGAACCAACCTTAGCTCTTTTGTATAAGGCCCTTTAAATAAGGTCCTGCTTTAGCCTGATTTTCTGCTTGGGATGTAACAATGAATTCCTGCTGCTTGAGCCTGCCATGTTGCTTATATTCAAAGTATAATGGGGAGCCTTCAGAAAAATATAACCTTATTTACAATGTACAAAGCCAATTGGATTTTGGTTAACAATTTCTAAGTGATTACAGTTCACTAAAAATGCAGGTGTGCTATAGATGCAATGCACAGGGGGGGACTTTTTATTTTAAATCATACAAGCTTTCTTTTATTCATGTCATTCAGGCGCCTCAGGATAATTCACATTTCCAGCTTTCATAATGTGTTGTTCAACCACTGTTTTTTCTCCCTCCCTATTGTACTCTCACAAATCATACTCACTAATTTCTGAAAGCTTTTCATTTCTCTCTATAGGTTGTTGTTTCGTAACATTTTATACAAGAAAAGCTGCTCTTGAGGCACAGAATGCACTGCACAATATTAAAACTTTACCTGGGGTGAGTACATTTACTTTTTGATCCTAATTATTTTATTGCCAGAAGAATAGCCCTTTTGCTCTTGATGCTGCTTGGTGCCCCAAATGATCTTGATCTCTGCAAGGAGGGTGGCTAAGCTGATGGTCTGTCCTGTGTTGGCGCCAGTCCTGGAGCAATGGCATCATGTCCAAAGGCAGCTGCTGTTCTCTAGAAAGTCCTTTGGCTGGAAAGGGTACTGATTCCTGCTGAGTAGAGACAGTGGCCAAAGTGCAATGTGGATCTTTTTTAAAATTTATTTAAGAGGGAGGGAGGGAGGGAGAGAGGAGAGAAAACATATGGCAGAAAAACACTGCACCACTGGGTCTTCATGTTTGAAAAGGGAGAGAAGAGGAAAAGACAAAACACAGCCAAAGTTTGTTAAATACAGCCTTTATCCACATGGTTTCTAAACAACCTGAATGCACTGGCTGCACATTTCAGGGTGTTGTGGAGTGTTGTACCCCATAGCTGCTTGCACAGGGTGATCCTGTCTCCTGACATCACCTCCTCACCACCTGCTCCCTCTGGCACCAGTATTCAGAACAATTGTGGTTGTATTGTGCAAACTGTATCTTGCATTTTCCTCTGGTATTTTATATTTAAATTACAGGGCTAGAGAGAAGTATATCACTGGTAATTGCATGTCTAAACTCTGAAATCTTCTTGTACCACCATTTTCATTTTTTCTGCTGTATTCTTTGAGGATGGAAGTGAAAAAAATATATAGGATGGAGGTATATTCCCTCTTGATGTAGGAGAAGTGTTCAAGTATATGTTTGTAATGTCTGGTTACAGACATGAAAATAAATAAATACACAGTGTAAATAAAAAGAGCATTGCCTGGACTGACCAGTTATATGGCCAATATCTCCTTTAGTTCCTATATGTTGTGTGTGAAATTGGACACTCTGTGTTTGAAAAATTATACCTGGCCAGTTCACTTTATGCAGGTGATTTCCTGGTAGGGAAGCCACCTCATGTGTCACAGAAATGGCCAGCACAGAGAGGTGCTGTCATGGGACAGTTACCTGTGAGCCTGCTGAAGGTAAAATGGGAGTCCTCTGTCATTTGCAGTGAAAATCCTGGGAATGGTGGTAGGAAATCTGCAAAGGTAGGAAAACAGGAGAAAAGCTGTGGCACTTGAAGTGATGTTTTCCAGCAATTGGCCCTTGCAAGGGACAGTACCAAGACCTTACAAGCTCCCAGAGGGAGTCTCAGCCCTTTAGGGTGTGGAGGATGGCTGTGCCATCCTTGAGAGAGAAAGGAAGGCTCTGAGGGACAATTCCCTTTGAGACCCCTTTGGAGCTCAGCTGAACCTCAGCACCCTCTGTCTCTGCAGCCCCAGTTGTTGCTTCCCATCCCCACTGCCAAGCCCTTGGATGAGAGCTCTCCAACCCCATTCAATGTTGCACCTAAACCACTCACTGAGTGATTGCTCTCCATCATGCTTGGAGTCAAATGGCTGTGTGCACTGGCTGGGTGGCATGGAGGTGATCCCAAGCTGCTGGAGCAGCACCCTGCCTGGATAGCATCCCTCAAGCTCTACCACAAGATCTACTCATCACCCCCCTTAGAGGTAGAGAGGATCTGTTTAGAATCATACAATCACAGAGTCATAAAGGGTGGAAAAGACCTACAACATTTGACTAAAAACCACAATGTCAATTAAATCACAGCACTAAGTGCCACATCCCGTTGTTTTTTTTGAACACTTCTAAGCGTGATGACTCCACCACTTCCCTGGGCAGCCAAAGCTTGACTACCCTTTTAGTGAAGTTCATCCTGACTGTCCTCAAGCTCCCTTGGTGCAGCTTGAGGACAGTCTTCTCATCCTGTTGCCTGGGGGCAGAGCCTGACTCCCATCTGGCTACACCCTCCTGTCAGGGAGTTGTGGAGCCTGAAAAGGTCCCCCTTGAGCCTCCTTTTCTTCAGGCTAAACAAACCAAGTTCCCTCAGCTGCCTTTACTTTTCTTTGTTCTTCCCCGAGTCCCCCAAGCTGCTTGCTGTGTTTTGAGAGATGTTACTTATCCCAGTAGGTGACTCAGAGGGGCAGTTTCACTCTCTGCCTTCCTCACATAGAGGTGGCAAAGCTCTGCATTGCATCTTACTTGAGCAGAGCATCATTTTCTCCCCAGCTTTTGCACAGCTAATGAGCAGGCAGCAGTTAAAGATGCTAGTGTACCTTTTGATGTTATTTTAAAATAAGGTTGAAAAATATAATTTTTTTCCTAGAGCCCTCTCTAGCTCTTTGTCATTTAAAAATTATCTTTCTAAGCTGTTTTTTCCTGTCCTGACTGTGAGGTTACAAAGTTTTCTTTTAAGGAAATATAGATTCTGAATTCCCATGACTGGAACCTTGCCTTCAAAAATACTCCTGATACAGCCAGAGATGTTTAGATTTTACTATCAGAGAAGTTGTTATACCTACTTTTTTAAAGGGAAGCCTCTAATAAAGAGAAGCAACTTGAATACATTTTTACTACTTGTCTTTTAGAATGATTCAGCATATGTTATATAACAGATTCTATATTTTGCACGTGCAGTATGCTGCCATTCAGCATATATGGGGATACTGTTATGCTGCATCTGTGTATTCCCAAAATAACTTCATTTAAGCACTCTTTAAAGTTGTGGCACACATGCTGGAAACACTTCATGTTAGCAGGGTTCTCCTTATATGAATTTTAGCAATTTCTGTATTGTTCCTCTTGCCTGCTAAGCAGCTTTTACCAAACAAGCAGGAATCAGTAGTGGATAGTTCCATGTGTGAGAAATGGTCTCAGAGCAAATGGAAGCAATCTTCTGTCAGGGCTACAACAAGGGATGAATTTGGATCAGGTTCATTTGGGCATCAAGTGTCAGCTTGCTTCCAGTAAGCAAGGCATGGTCAGTAGGAGGTTCAGTAATAAGGTGTCTCCTGGAAACAAAAGAATCCATGCCTTCCCCTTTTGCTGTAATATCACCATGCATCAAAAAAGGCATCCTAAAAGAGCCCAGGAGGAAAATCCCAGGCAAAGGCTGGTGATTTATTAGTGTAAGGTAAGGAAAGCTGGCAGAGGCAGGAACAGGGGGCTGCAGGGATGCTGTGGCTGTTGGAACTCATCTGTGTTTTACCTGCACTCAGGTGTAGCCTGCACTGCTGCAGAGTTGTGGAGGAGAATAGCTCTGTGTTCATTATTGTTAGAGCCTGGATTATTTCTGGGTTTAGTCTCTTCATTTCTTAAATGCAGGCTTGCTCCAGGTAGCTCGGTAAGCAGGTTTTGGATCAGCACCGGTGAAGCCAAAAAAGTGGGGGTTTAGTGTGAAATTTATCCCCCTTCCAAGGCTGCATATTCAGTTTAGTTTAAGTAGGTTTTTGAGCAAAGCCTGCAGTGCTATGTCTCAATCTCTGCGTTTTGCCTGGACCTCATCCTTAACAGAGACATGAAAACACCAGCGCTTGATCTGCTCCTTTGAGCTGCACCCTTTTAGTGGACATGAAGAAAATAAGACCAGACATAAATGATTAATGCAGAATCTTGGAAGAAAATATTGCAGGGTGCCTTGCTGTTTGATTACAAGCCTTGGAATTAGTCAACATTTCCATAATTCTAAACCAATATACACCTGTTTTCCCACTGTGATGTGAAGGCACAACTTAATTTAACAGAAACCCCGCTGTGCTAAATCTCTCATTAAATACCAAGCTAGTTCTGTAATTTAAAGTTGCAGCACTACTATTTTAACTGAATTGCCTTTGTATTATAAAATTAATAAGAAGTTAATGATGCACTTTGCTGTATTCGCTCAGATTTTTTTTTTTTCACAGCAACAACAACAAAAAAGAAAGATAAAGAAGAAAAACATGTCACCAGCTGACATCTCAAGGCTTTTCTGGTTTTAATCATTTTCCTGAGGATAGAAATTCATTTAAAAGATTTTTAAAAAAAAAATTTAAAACTTTCTGCACAAGTACGATCAAACATCATCTTTTTATTCATGATTAATATAATCTCTCTGTTAGTCATAATATTCCTTGTCATATATTGGAGCTTTTATCTTTCCCAAAATATGTATTTAGATATCACTCGTTATGTACGATTGCTACTAGGCAGAGAAGCAGATATGCAGTGTTTGAGAAATACAGGCACATTGTTATGATATATGATACAGATCAACAGAACAGGGACAGTTCTCTTCTGTTTACTTGGCGCTGGCATCACAAGTAGCTTTTATGTCTTGCAAATGAACAACTTAAATTTTCAGATGTGTCTTTTCAAACATAGCATGAGAGCAGGTTGCTGATACCCTCGTAGCTCATAGGGATGTGGTTTATATTATTCAGCTTAGAGTCAGGTTTTCTTGGAGTGTTCATTTGGATTTTGTTTTAAAAGGCAGAAGGGAGAAAAGGGAAAATCTCAATTTGAATGTAATAATGATCTTGGAAATGGGCTTCTTTGGGATGAGATGGAGAACTGAGGCCTTAACTAGTCTCATCTTCATTAAGAATCTCATGGCTTCGTTAGAGGTGTTTAACTTCTATTCCCTAAACAGAGTAATTCAATAAATTCCACCCATCTAAATTTATTCTGTACCTTCAGTTAGATGTAATAATCTTGCTTCCCCCATGCTCTAATTTGCTGCTTAGTGAAAATTGGCTTCTGTATAGAGGGCAAACCTCAAAGAGCTGCATTCAGGGACTGCTTTAACTGCCTTTATGGCACTGACATTCGTTCATTGTTTTAGTTTTAACATGCTTTATTTTAAAAACAGAATGTGCTCTGTTTTGCTGACAAGTGAACCTGGTAGGATTTCCTGGCAAGGGTTAAGTGCAGAGAGGTAACACAAGAGCACTATATGTTGGTTGGATTCTTGGAGCCAAATAGCTGAATAAATGCACTTTTAATGTCATGCAGAGGCTATTTGAAGTCAGAAATCAATGGGCATCCATTTGTAAAATCTACGCCTAAAACTCTTTGGAGTCTTTGTTCTTTATTTGAAGT